TTCTCTCATGCTTTCCCAAGCGGGGTCGCGAGGGGTTTCTTTAAACAATGAGAAACTCAGATAAATTTAGACTATGGTCTAAATAATCTGGCCAAAACCTTTGGTGAAAAGAAAGAAACAAAGCCAGTCGTTAAAATGCAATAAACGTCCCGATCTTTACTACAGTAATTAGACAGCATCTGGCTGTGTGCTACGTCTGATTGTAAGAGGCTGTAATTGTTCTGGACCACTTCACTTATCTCCTCCATCCCTCCCTGTCCAGCCTGCAGCTCATCTGAATCACTGCAGTGCTGCATGTTTGTCCTCTCATGCTGTTAAGTGCTGCAAAGAATGCATGTGTTGTATACATTAGTGTTGTCTTCATGAGGATTTAGAACGCACATAACCATAGTTGCATGTAGAACATGTCTGTAGAATGCACACAAGCTCACAATCTTGTGATTTGCAGAATAAAGGAGCTCAGTGCCGTCCGGCTGCTTCCACTGAGGAAGATGATGTCTGAGAATCAGCATCCATGCAGCAGAACTGGTTGGAGCTGGTTCTTTTCTTGAATTACATAAGAAACAGCAAGAATAAGGGCAAGTGGAAGAAAGTGAAGGAGGAGGAAAGACCACAAGAATCCAAAATGGAAGGAAAGAGATCATTTTTAAAATAGGCAGAGAGCAATATTCCCAAGCAGCAGTGATATGAAAGTCTAGCAGATCAGAGGAACAGATATGGCAGCAAAAAGAAACATGTATGGAGAAACAGGGGAGACAAGGATGAGCAGACAGCAGCATCCCCCATGCTGTGGGCCTCTCTCCCATCCTTTCCTTATGACTCATTCCGATGACAGAAATAAGAAGTCTTAAATAGCATGTGCTGCATGTGCATGCATTGCATAGTGTGTGGAATTTAAAGCACACATGCATGTGCAGCTGATTGCATCTATGGGCCCATGTGTGTGCCCTGTGGTGGCCTCCAGCTCACAGGTCTGCCAAGCCCCACTCAAAACGAAGCCAGTGCAACCATCTGTGCAGGAGGGAGCAACAGGGAAGGAGGAGGAGTGAATAGAAAAGCCACTGGTGTGCAAGACACATGCATTGCCATCTTGTTGTGCACCTAGTTTTACTGTTTGGCTTTATTGTCTCTCTTGTCAAAGTGAGAGTAAGCGTCTGGTAAATAAAGAGTTGAGGAGGAGCAGTAGATTTGGCTGAGAGGGCGAGTGCGGGAGCTTTTACGGTACTTGCTTGTGTCTTTTGCTGTCTCTGTAATTTAGGGAGTAGGAAGATTATTCAGATGAGTTCTTCTGCAATGCTTATTTCAATGCACATAAAGCTGTGCTGAAGACTGATTAAAGGTTTTATGCAAGATTGATAATTGTTTATAAATGGCTTCAAGCTCCTGCAGAATTACAAAATGTGAATAAAAAGAGAAATATTCATTTTAACCTCTAACTGATAGACATGCAAAAAAAACATGCATGAATCTTGTACTGTTGGGCCTGCTGGGGGGTTCTAGAAAGTTCATCTGAAAACAACAGCTGCATGTTCAAAATAGATGGGTGGACACAAACAGCTACCTTATAAATAAAGGTGGCGGAGTTAAATCTACAGTACATATAAAAGGGAATGTATCAAGACACAAATATGGAATACCCTAAGCTTTTTCTTAATATTTTTTTTCCAGTTGTATGTTTCCATGATCTGGAAGCATATTAATAATACAAACAATAGAAAAATATTAATGGTAAAACACCATACATACAGTGGTAACAATGATGAATAGCCTGTAATACTGTGGATATTTCTCTTCTGAAGTCCCTAGTAACCTTTTGGGGATGATTTAGTAACAATCTAGCAGAATCCACCAGTAAAAAAGAGTTTTTACAGGAGAAGACTCAGCACACATTGACAAAACATGTCGTATTATGTACAAACAGCTAAGATGTTGTAGATGCAGGCATTTTACGCACAGAAATGTAATAGGATTTAAGTTTGCATTTTTTTTTTTTACAATTTGCAAAGTCAAACTACAAATAACGACCAACACTCAGCACTTTGCAGCTCATTCTTTCTCCACTCACCAACCATCAATACCAACACACCTTTAGACACATTAACAGTTTCAGCTCTGTATTGACCTCTGATAATGTCTCAAAGGCTTAGCAGTAGTGGAGAATGGTACAAAATGAATAAAGTATACAAAGAGCACTGTATGGCTCAAAATGCCTTGCACATGTAATAGATCAGAGGAGAAAGAACAGCATGGCTGAAAAGAAAAGCAAGAGTAGCTCAAATCACCACCTATTTCAGCCAGGGTATTCAGAATAACACCTCTGAATGCACAGCATAAGCTCTAATGAGAAAAAGCAGTAGAAAAGCAAAGGAATATTTTCTTTTCATTATTGGGTCCCTTAGGAACAACAGAGCATCATCTGCCAGAGTATGATATCTAGCCATAAACATCCCTTTATGGTCACAGTCTTCCCATCTTCTGATGGCTGTTTAAGCAGGATAATGCACCATACCATAAAGCTGTAAACATGACAATAATTTCATTGTCAGCAGATCTTAATCTTTGGATGGGTTTGATTGGGGGATTCCCATCACCTGCAGAAGCAGCTCCACTCAGTCCCATTCCAAAGCTGGGGAGAGCACCCGAAACAACTATTATTGTAAAAGTAACACATCTTCATAACTGATTAAGTAGGAGCAAAAGGTATAAGGCTAAAATGTTACTAAGTAACTCATAATAACATCCAACTTTATATTTAAAATTATGTAATAAGTAATTATGTAGCAGTAAATATAAAGTTATGTGCAGATTATGGTCTTTTAAGGACCATAATAGAATAGCTTAAGAAAAAATAAAACCAGGCATAAAAAAAGACTTTTTAAAGTCAAATTTCTTTTGAACAAAATGTTACAAATCCTTAATATATGTAAAATATACAGGTGTTAAATACCTCTATTGGCAATATATACTCCCTATTACATATTAGCTTGACCTCCAGATATCATGGTATCGTCACAAGATGTATGGCAAACTTATGCACAAAGATGGAACACTCATTTTAACATAAACAATTGTCCTTTTGTGGACAGTTTTTGTGTCAAATCAACTTGTATATTATTCACTGAAGTTAGTCTATGTTGAAATTGCAGAACAATGCTACCCAAATCAGATTTTTTGCCCTATATCTGACTTTTTCACTGCAACCAAAATGGTTCTGATCTTTTTACCCCCTAATTAAATCTGGATTGTTCCATATTTTATATTTAATTGGATGCATATCCAATAGTTTTTACAGTGTCTGCAGTCTAAACGGTCATGTTGTACTTCATCGGACAATGACATTATCATCCAGGCTCTGACTACTCATTCATATACGTACACTATTTACTTAGTTGCTCCTCCACAAACACACAACATACATAGTTCTGCTCTTGTTGCTTGTTTTGATGTGATGTTAATATTATTGACTCCCATAGTTCAAAAACTGTTGATAACCCACATATTCTGCTATCTGTTGTTACTTCTGTAAACGGTGCATTGCCTCGTGGCATTGGGACTGTGAAACATTCAGACTGGAGTTTAATGGTGCCTGCATTGAAGTAGTAGTCTGAAAAACCATGGAGAATCAAATTGGATTTTAGAGAAAAATTTTAACTGATTATCAAGATATGAGGCGTGAATGTAACCTTACTTGCTGTGGATAGAGTAGCTAAACCTTTGCCTCAAGTAAAAGTAGGGACACTTTGTTAAGATTTTAATATCCTTGTCAAAGAGTACCTCTGGCACTAGCCAATTGTACCTCATAAATAGGCTGATGACTATGCATACAGATAATGTTCTGGTGTTTGTGTGGAACCTAATATAAGAAAAAAGTAATTTTGTGACCTGTGTTCTTCCTGCAGTATCCCCAATATAGCTAAATATTCATCTGTAAGTGACCCGCAGGCCTCACAGTGCAACCAGACTGTTGTTTATTTGGTTCCAAAACTGTCCCAACAGTCTGCCTGTGTAACCCAATCTGACTCACTGACTCTGGGATTGGAAATATGAAACTAGGGATATCCAGTACCATTTATGTGGTATGCAAACACTGTGTTAGTCTATTTGTGGACAGCGTTACATTTCTCTGGTGTTTGGATGACGGTTCATCTCCTAGAAACAAATATTCTGGTTTAGCTCTGAGCATAGAGAGTAACAGAAAGTTCTTTGTGAAAGCAGATTGTTTAGCTCACAGAGAGTCAGGACACCTTGTGACAGCAACCTGCCAAAAGGATATGTTTGTCTGACTGGTGTTGTGGTGCTGTTTAACACAGATCAGCCTTCTATAAAGCACACAGCCTGGCAGGCAAGATGACAACACAAATCACCCCTACAAAGCCTACAATTAAATGGAAGCTTCACTGTGTGTTTGTGTGTGTATGTTTGTAAAGACCAATCCTGACAGAGGGCAAATGGTGCAGTGTAACAGGACTGAATTTCCTCTTTTCAAAAGTATTTGTGGTTGAAGTGCAGTGTACTGGTGTGTAGTAGCCTTGTAGTGAGTCTAGCTGTTTATATCTACAGGATCTTTTCTCTTTTCTTTAATGGAAATATTCATGAAGTTGTATCTCCAGTTAAGATCCTGTTCCTGTTAAAGATTTGAGTACACTTAAATGGGGAATAGGCTGAAGGTAGTGGATCTAAGCTCCACAAATGTTGCATCATTTGGGTTGTTGTTTTATAGCTTTAAAAGGTTTTTAAAAGGCAATGTCTCCAGCAAGCTACTAGTTAAAATGAAAGGCTTAGTTATTTCATGTGTTCAAAGAAACTTCATTCGTTAATTCTTTCCTTAAAATGTGGCAGAAGCAGATATTTTCTTTGTCTATGGATAGATGATTGCTGTTGGAATGACCAACAGCTAAGCTTAAAGGTCTTACAAAAATTATGTTTTTCTTATGTCCACTTTCTACACCTAATACTCTGCATTATCTTCCTTTCTGTCCTCTCTTATGTTCTCCTCTCAGATATGGCGTTCCCACCTGTGCTCCTCCTGCTGCTGGCTGTTGCTCATCATGCCTGTGGCCAGAATCCGATTGACTCCGAGGCTCTGCCGAGAGGCTGTGGCTGGGGCCTTGTGCGGCCCTACACTCTCCTCTGTGACCTGGAATCCATTTGGGGCGTAGCCGTTGAATCTGTGGCTGCCGGTGGGACGCTGGCAGCCATTCTACTTGCACTGGTCCTGCTGTGTCGTCTGCGCCACATAAGCCAAGCGGAGAAGCGCAGTGGTGTCGGACCCATCCTCCTTCTGCTCTTGGGCATCCTTGGCTTGTTTGGCCTCAGTTTTGCTTACCTAATCGAGCAAGATGAGTCTCTTTGTCTGATTCGCAGGGCTTTATGGGGTCTTCTTTTTGCTGTCTGCTTCTCCTGCCTGTTGGTTCAGGGGATTCGGCTGCGCAGGCTGGGTCGAGAGCGCCGAAGCCCCGGCGGATGTGCTTTAACAGGCTTGGCATTAGGTTTGAGTGCTGTGCAGGGTATCATTGCTGCTGAGTGGCTACTACTGACAGTGCTGAGAGAAGGGACAGCTGCCTGTCAGTACCAGCCTTTGGACTTCTCGTTAGCCTGCAGTTACGTTCTAGCCCTGCTTCTTGCTGCCTTTACTGCAGCCTCCTTGGCCCTGTGTGGGAAAACCCGTCAGTGGCGCTGCAATGCTGTTTGGCTGCTGGTGACCTGCCTGCTGTCTTTGCTGCTGTGGGTGGCCTGGGTGGGCTTCTACTTGTATGGTAACGAATGGCTGGGCAAGTCCCCAGAGTGGAACGATCCAGCACTTGCAATTGCCTTGGTGGCCCAGGGCTGGCTCCTGCTAATCTTCCATGCCATTCCTGAATCCCACATCTGTTTAAGACCCCCACCACAACCAACTGCTCCAGATTACTTTGACACATCCCAGAACTCAACACGGATGAGGGAGACAAGCTTTGATGAAGATATCCCTCTGTCTCACCGGCAGTTTGTGGAGAACCAGGGCTACGGATACAACGATGAGAACACAGCAGGTACATCGTCGTCCAATATTTTAGAGAACATGATTTATGTGGGCAGCTTGTAGGACGAATGTGGGCCAGAGTGAGTAATGAAACTCCAAGAAAGGTCTGCCTCAGAACCTAGAAATAGGTGTTGGAGGAAAATTTCTGTTGTGTAGGAAGTGTTTATTAACTCAGGCAAAAAAGCAAAGTGAGTCAAAATGAGTAATCTGTGTTTCCTTGTTAGGCTTAAGGAGCGCAGGCAGCACCACCCAACACAACAGTAACACCGGCGCCAGGCCCAGTGCTCCCTTCCGCAGCAATGTCTACCAGCCTACAGAGATGACCATGATCCTGAACGGGGGAGCGGTGAGTACTTCTTCCCAGTCACAGGTACACGCCGCTTACACGCCGCTGTCAAACTCCATCACGCCGACCAGACTGCATGCACCTTAGAACCTTGCGGATCATGCGTCATTGCAGAACAAGGAATGAGAGGTTTGCCCTTGCATGGTCATGTCTCTGCACATGCATGGACAGGTTTGGTCACACATCACTCAAACTCACAAAGCTATTTGTGTGAGTGACTGTGAAGGCGCCTTGATGTGTTTGAATCACCTATTAATTGTGTTTGTCTGCTGAGTGATGCTATTGCTCGCTGGACTGGGAAGATGAATGTACATTTTGGTGGGCAGAGGATGATATACTTAATATCTTATCACTTAAAATAGTCATACCCCTTGTAGATTTTGGTTTGAAGAATCTGAACATTTTCTTAGCAATTTTCTTTAGACTGGAAATTTTGCAGAGGCCAAGACTGGAAGCAGTCTTAAATCTAGAATGTGTATTTGTGTATAAAAGATTTAAAGACATGTTTAAATACATTGATAGTCCTTTTACTCTATTTTGTTCTCCTTTCAAAATTACCCATCTAATTTTCTATTAGACACAAAGTTCTTGGTTAAATGTAAATAATTTCAAATCGAAATGTGCCAGGGGTATTGATAACTTGGGACTCAACCAAAGGCCTGCTTTACCAAAGTACAATGAAAGAAAACAATTGGCTACTAACTATTCTGTAACTATTTATCTTAAAAGTGATGAAGCACTAGAAGTACAGAGTTGTCTGATTTAGGCTACTTGGCATGGAATATTATTACTAATGCTATTTTCTAATTTGTTTTAGAAAAAAAGATCACTTACTGCATACCTGCTGTACACTATTCGTCTCCTAACCGACTGTTCGTTTTTTGTAGGCTTTATTAAAACGCTTAAGGTAAAATAAAAAAAAGTGGTATGAGACACAGCTATTAACTATTTATAGTATCATCTATAACTTTTTATTTAATTAAGTTAATCACATGCATAGGACAGTGCAATCTCTTTAGATAGTGTTATGGCGTTATGGTGATGTAAAAGAGAGAAATGCATTGTTATCAAATTGTATTACTAATAATAGTGCTCACTCAGCATTACAATAGGAATTTGTTGTTATAAGTCTGAGATCTTATCAGATTAGAATTTGAATTCTAAGGCAAACCTGTTCCTGGCATACTGTTTTACAGTTTTTATGCCCAGCTTGATTCAATTTCTATTTTTAATTAAGCTAATCTGAATTAAGTTAAAGACTGTTATAATTACTATCTTTTTTATGACTGAGACATACAGCTGTTCACCACTATGTCGACCTAAACTTTAAAACACTTTTCTGATGGCACCAGATGAAATACGATTTAACTTTTACCTTGTCAGGACAGGATTTTTTAATCTTTATGTTTCATCTATACTATCTAATTTGATAGTTTCAGCACATATAATAGACTTATTAACATTTTTTATGCATAAGACCCAATGAGGCTATATATATATATTTGTCATTGTCTGAGAAATCTAACAAGTAAAAAAATACAAGTTTATCCTGGATGCCTTTGGTGAGTTGCTACAGAAACGCAGTCGGGCTCATTTAAAAATAGCCTGACAGGAAAGCCATTCATATTATAATGCTGTACTGCAAACAACAAAAACCTAATAAAGTTCAGTTTAGTTTATTTACTTAACATTTATTTTAAAATAAATGTCAATTTAAGATGTTTTATAAGAAACACTGTACGGATTCGCTGAAAATCGTTTAAATTAAATCAATGAGTCCATATGTTAAAGTCAAGTTCAAATATTGTCCAATACAAATCTAAGTACAGTAAAATTATAAAATATCTAAGTCTAATTTCAAAATATAATGGAAAGTTCTTGGCATGAGGATAAAAAAAAAATATGGGGGCAGTGCAAATGAACAATTTTCAATTCAACAGAAAGAATCGTCCAGCAGAGCGAGACTCAATATGAGCACATATCTGCTTCAAATAAATAATCAGAAGAGAGGACATGAGGGAACGACAGGAAAAATGCAAAAGCACTGAATAAAACTCTCTCTGACAAAACAAAACAAAGAGCCGATATTACTCATTAACTCAGCTAAAGACTGAAGAAATTGTTCAAAATTACTTTCTAATATAAAAAGCAAACCACTTGGCCAGACATAGCTTCTGGGGATAATAAAACCAAAGAGAGTGAATAGCATGGATGGTAGAAACATCTCTATAACTTCTCCCAGAAAAGAGACCCTGCTAAGCCCAGACTGAACCAGGTTAATTTTCTTTGGCAAAGTAAAACAAAAAGAGTACATAACATCATTTGTGGAAGACTCTCAGTTAAAATTAATTAGATATATAAATGAATAATTGTGCAACAAGCCAGAAATTAATAGCAAGTTTCCATATGGTAATCACATAGAGAATATGCCATATTGGTTGCAAAAAACAAACAAACTTTGATTATTAATTTGTTTTATGAGGTTTTAATGCTTGTGAGCACCTGTAAGATGAGGGAGACATAAATCCTCAATTTCCAAGTAACAAAGCTTCTTCTTTTCTACTGTATATTTCTATAAAAGCATAATAAAAAGTTTGGAGTTGTGTACTTATAAAAAAAAATGTATACATTATGGATAAGGTTTCATTGACACAATTTATAGAATTATCTAAATATATTTTAGTTTGATGAAAATATTCCAATCTAAAGCTTTAAATTATGGGGGAAAAGGTAACAAAATAAAAGTGCAATTATGAATGCAGTTAAGCGTTTGTAGATAAACATGTTTAAGTTCATGATGCTTCCAGACCATTTGTCATTTACCAGCTCGTTTTATTCCATCTACAGGTGCCATCCGCTCCTCCCACCTACACGGGGCGGCAGCTGTGGTGAGCGACAAGATGAGGATATTTTAAGGAAAATGGAGGAAGAGGATGGAGTAGGGAGGAAGGGCTCCAGGATAGCAGAAGGGGGGAGTAGGCATCTTTAAGGACTGGACTTTTGGCTCGTATGCCTACGGGGCTCTTTTCTGTACAGACTTTATCACTGAGTGTGTGCCAAACAATTATAGAATGAATGTGAGTGATACTAAGAGAGGGCAGCATGTGGAGGGCAGAGCTAAAACCTTTCTAGAACATAAGTACTTATGGAAGACTTGCAAAAATGTGGAGAGTCCAGTATGCCAGTGGCCAAAAAGAACACTAAATTATATAGAATTATTGCCATAGTCATACAGTATCTCTCTTTTTTTTATATAATTTGTTTCTCTGAAACTCCAGCAAGCCTCCTTGAAAACTGTGAAAGCAAACTCTTTATTCTGTTCTAGTTCCTCGTCCTGTCAGTTGTGATGTGTTTTCTGCTTTACGGTGCTGGCATTGAAGCAGAAACCTTTAACTCTGTCCTCCATTCATTCACACTGTAAGGGTTGAGCCAGAGTGCCACTCTCTTAAAAAAATATATACTTCCCCTTCTGTTGGTGTCTATATACGGGAATGAGTGTGTTTATGTATTCATTAGAACTCTCACAATCCCACCAAGCCTCCTCCTTTGGACTGTTAGCCCTGGCCTTTCCCCCTCCTCTTCCTTGCACTCCGACCAAAACACATAACTGTCCTCACCTTGCTCCATCATCCCATTTGCATGGACACATTGCAAAAACCAACTGTGAAACTCTGAATAGGCAGAGATGGACAGAAAGTAAGCACAGAAAAAAAAAAAGTACATCTGGAGGACTTGAACTCATCATGCAACCATTAAAGCCCTGCAAGAGGTTTAAAAGATGCAAAGTGGATGATGATAGGACAAGAAAGGCGTTAGTCGTCAGCACGGGAGGTGTGGCTTTTGGAATCTGGGTCAAACCACTTCACTCTCCCCGCATCTCCGGTGGCCAGTGGCGGATGGAGGCAGCCAGGAGAAACCGTCACATTAGATCAGCAGGAAGCGGAGCGAGGAAATGAATCAGCCTCCTGCTTCCAGTTCCTCTGTGTGTGTTTGTGTGCAAATAGCATTTGAGTTTTGTGATTTTGTGAGGGCTCACAAGTTCTTTTTCTGGTGCTTAAAATGTTCACAGTGAGGTATAGAAGTGGCAGAAACAATGCCGGTGTGGATGCGTCAAAGTCCAAGTGACAGACTATATTTGGAGCGGCTGCTGCTGTGTGATCTTCTGGAGTCTCAGAGAGATCAGTTTTACACTGTGGGGTGGAAAAAGGAGAATCAAATGCAGGAGAGGTAGATGCAGAAGGGGGGGGCATATAGAGAGGGGTGGTGTTAGGACCGGATCTTCTTCAGTCACTCTGCAATCTATATGAAAAAAGAGCCTTCCGATCTCCATGTGTGCATGATATGGAAGATTCTCCTCCTCCTCACCTTCCTCCTGTCTCTCAAAGCTTAAGTCCCATGCCAAGAATGACTCCATGTTTCATGGAGTCTATATTTTACACATTTTCCCTTCATTGTGGCACTAGCTCTCTGGTTCACCTGAGAAACTGTGTAAATAGTAGTGCTGTAAAGCTTTGCTTGCCTGTTTATATTGTTTTTCTCTTTCTTTTTATTTTAACGCTAGTCTAATTATAAAGACACCAGTCATGCACTGGAGAAGTGATTTAATTCTGGATTAACTTGCTTGCTTTGTGTTCATGCTCTGCCTTTTTAATATGCATTTATTTTTCTCTTGCTTGTTTCTTTTTTTTTTTTTTAGATAGAGTTCTGAAAATGTTTTTGCCAACACTAGATGTGCTTTTATTTTTGTTTGGCTATTGTTCATGGATATTTTGCATTTCTTTTAAAGGGATTTACATTGGCTGTACCTACTGATCACTGCTTTTATTTTTTTTTTTTCAGAAAAATGACTATAGCTGTGAATAACTTTCGCACTTCATGCAGTAAATAAAAAAGACTATTTCTATGATACTTAGAGCAGAGCAGAGTGGTTGGACCACAATAACTCACACAGAGCCTTGCAAAAGTATTTTCATCTCCCATCCATTTTTCATAGTTTGTCACAAAGCAACCATAAATGTATTACATTTTATTGTGAAACTGTAATGTATGACAAGCAGCGAGAATTGAAAAGGGGGGAAGGCAGGAGATAAAATATTTTTTTTTATATATTTAATAAAAGAATTACTAAAATCTTTAACTGATGGTGTATTTAGGATGATGTGTAGGTTTATGGTTAGTTTCCCACCACATAGTATTTTCCATCTAGGCTAAAAAGCTCACTTTAGGTTATATCTGACCACACATTTACAGCATCCTCTACATTGCCAGTGGCAAAATACAAAAAAATATTTATTTTAAGTGTCTTTTTTTTTCTATCAAGGCTTTTAAAACAGAGTTGTGAATCCTAACATTTTCTCCAGAATATAATATTTTCTTATAGCCTAAGATTAATAACTGATCTTGCAGGTGTGTTCTTTTGTGGCCTTCAGAGAACAGCTAGTTTTATAATGACATTAAAATAACTACATAATTTGGAGGGATTCTCTGCTGTTTTTTTTTTTTTTTTTTTTTTTTTTTTTTTTATAGAGGGATAATTATGCAACATCTTTATTTGAAAAATAATTTGAAACCATGTACTGCTTTTCCATGCCTCGCAGTTATGCACTGCTTCTTGTGGATCCATACAATCCCAATAAAATACATAAATATTTATGGTTGTAATGTGACAAGGTTAAAAAGGTAGGCTATAAATACTTTTGCAAAGCCCGATAAGATCACCAAAAGCCATGGTAGTGATATCTGAACTTGCATCAGCCCTGAGCTAAAAAAAAAAGATTAGGGGGTTAGCCCCCCCGAATGCTGCTGTATGTTTATGTCTCAAACTGTGGCTACTCTAAAACAGGACGGCTACTTGCAGGCCAGTTTCGTACCCAGACACAGCTTGTCCTCTCTGGCCCTGCTGTGTTCAGGCCCATCCTGGTCAGAAACAGATCAATGCAAGAAGAAGTGTCCTCAGGGGTTTTCATGGTCACCAGTACGTTTTGATACTCTCATCGAAGGACGGATGTTTGAATTCTTGTGATGTTTTCACCAAGTGGAGTACAAAAAAAAGGAAGAATAACAACCTGTTGTGACTTTGTAGATTTTGCACTCGTCAACTACCTATCTGTGCATGCTTAATCACCATTTCTACATATAAGATCTTTCTCAGACGTACTTTTAAATAATAACTATTTATGTAACAGTCATGTGACAGCAATCATAATTTCAGTGTATATCAAAAGACATTCTCTTTGGAAAACGCAAAAGTGATTGTTGTAAAGCAAAGAGAATAAAATCAGAGGATAGTCCAATTTCTCCACAAAGGAAACAACATGCCATCTTCAGTGGACCTGGTTAGACTCTCCTTTGCTTGGGTTGAAGACTTGATGGTTTTTAAAAAAAGAGAATAGTCTGAGTGATATTGTCTCAGTGTTACAAATCAAGTAGACTGTGGTGAAATTTGCACAAAACCTCTATGTCAAGTTTGTTGTCCCTGGGCAGCCTATCTGAACAACCCCGCCCTCCCCCCGGGCTTTCCTCACCCAACTCTTCTTGCCTTCAGACTGTCCCAGCAGGGCAGCTGACAGGAGCAGTATTGGTTTTCACAGCTATGACTGTGCAGTGATGAGGCATGCATATGTATAGAATCTTAATTTTAAAAAAAAGGAAAAAAAAAAATCTTAAAACAGTTAACACTGTTGTTTCTGTAACCAATTCAGGAAGAAAAAAGTTCAATAAAAGTGTCATGTTTGTAGTTAACTTTTATCTGGATATGGATTTTTTTCCCCTGTAATTTGTGATTGTTTTGAAAAGTGTAAAGGGAAAAAATACAAATTAATGTTGAACATTTGGGAGGAAAGTTAAAATTGCCTTTTTTTTTTCTTTTTTTTTTAAAGAAACCCAAACCATTAAAAGATGATTAAAAAAAACAAAAACAAACACTGTCTACCTTTGTGGAAACAGTTTATGAGGTCAAAGTTTTTCTTTAACCATTAACCATCTTTTTTATTGGTATACTTTTCTCAAAGTTAAGTTAGCTTTTCACTTTCTCATTTGAATTTTATCTGCTAACCTCCATAGTAAATGCTGAGATGTCTAAAAAACATTGAAACACAGGAAAATATAAATGGTAAATCCATGATTTAAGATGCATTGCATTTATTCAGTGTAAAAAAAAGTACCACAATAAGAAATAATGTCACCTGAGCTACAATTAGCAATTTAATAATCTCTAAAAACTAAATAAATCCAGTATTTTTAAGTTTTTTATACGTCATTAAGAAGTCAAAGTGATCACCTGCTTTTTAGTAGTTTATTAATAACTTGTTTCTATGGTAAAAACATGAAGGAATAATTTTTCCTTTACAGATGCATTCTTAAGGCAGAATATAAATAAAAAAGATATCAGCCCATCCTAGCTCTTCCACATTTACAGACAGAATAATTAAAATGTTTAAAACATCTGAAACTTTGATGAACAAAACAATGGTCCAAGTTTATCTTCTACAGCCCTCATTTCAAGCTGTTTAAAATATCATTGTGTTTTAGAAGATAAGTTGTTTGGAGTATGAATTAATTTGCAATATATTATTCGTTTTTTTTCCCCTTATACCTGTACACAGTAATTATAAAGCAAATGTCAACCTCTTGCCTGGTAGAACTATCCACTCGTGTAGCAATGTCATTCCTTGTGCCGCTTTATATCTAGCCCTTTTGGATCTAGTTTCAGACTGATCCACTGCTACCAGACTTTGTGGAGCTCAGTCTGGTATCAGATATCCCCAGAATAAAATGGAGCATTTTTAATCAGCTTACCCTGTAGCAGCTATCTATTGCCTGCATTAAGATGAATGTTGACCCTCTAAAGACCACACTTTATAGACATGAAAGAAGGCAAAGATCAAGGGATACTCCAATCATACGGCCGCAGAGCATCCTCTCAGGTACGATCAGTTTGCTGGAAACTGGAAACAAGGGGCGCACTTAGTATTTCAGCTTTATTTGTAGTCATGACAGGAGGCCTAGAGCCGAGACAATTTAGTGTAGCCGGAAGGAGATCAAAGAAGTACAAAGTCGGTTAAGCATCACGTAGGATTTTACATTTCCAAATGAAATGTCATAAAGTCGCCACGGCTGAGCCATAAAAAAGTGAGATGATTTTTAGTTCCATAATACAAAAGAAGACGCATCATGCTGGAGACAAAAA